CTTGTTTTTTTTCTGGTTTGGCTGTTGAGTAGAGTCGACAGCAAGTAATGCGGTCAGTTGCGAGTTCGAACCCTGCCAAAGGAACATTTTTTATACCCTGAACCTATTAAAATGGATAAAAGGGTAGGTATATTGTATTTGTGCAAAATCCAAATGTATGTAACAGGCAGAAGGAAACATCTCCGACCCCATAAAGTGTATATATTCTTGATCAGCATCAATAGCCGAGTCGATCTAGCCATGTCCGTCTATCTGTCCGTCTGTCCGTATGTATAAACGCAAGGATCTCAGAACATTTAAGAGCTAAAGACTTGAAATTTTAGATGTAGGTGCTCCTAGTGCCTGCGCAGATCGAGTCTGTTTCCGATAATCGATAACGTACTTCGTTTCCAAGCAATCGATAAAAATCGATATCGATATCCTGTTTTTTGGGCAATTTTGCTAAATAATAAGAGCTAGATTCACCAAACTTGACATATAGCTTCTAAAATAGAATATATATATGCATTTGATTTTGGAAGAAGAGGGTTCAGGGTAATCTTTGTCGGGAGCTCCCGACTAGAACCTCTTAGTTGCTTTAAATTTATTTGGTGCTGGAATAAGAGGGTCCAGGGTATTCCCTAGTCGTGAGCTACTAACTAGAACCTCTTACTTGTTTTTTGTTTGTTATAGCAGTCTGAGTTAATGAGCCGTTCCGATAGTCTTGGTACATATGATAGAGATTTGTATATTTTTGTAGATTCTGTTGGCTTTTGTGTTTTGAAATGTTGTCTTTTAAATAATGTTCTAATCACATTCTTCGGGAAGTCATTTATGGTCAATAGTTGTTTTTATTTCATGTTCAATTTTTGTATGGTATATTACGCCCGATATGTATGTCATCCTTCTCAAACAGCTTAGTGTTGTATTTATAATTTTACTTTTTGGGTGGTTAGAGTTGAAGTTAAGTATTCATCCAGAGTCTATGGGTTTCATATACCACTTAATTTCGAGTGAGTTGTCCACTCTGTTTACCAAAGTGTCTAAGTATGGAAGCTTCGCGTTTTGTTCTAGTTCTACTGTGTTAGAATGTTTTGTACTTCTGTTTTTTCCGTTACAGCAAAAATGTGAACCGATAGAGGAGCATATTGGTTTCAACCTAATATTTAATTTTATTAAGTGATAGAACAATTGCCCATATTTACTACTGACAACAAAACCCACCCTGAAATAAAAAAGGCATTAACGAGACACACATTTTTTCCATACCAAGATTTTAAGCTTACTTATAAAACACAAATACAACTTATTACAAAAACAAACCAAATATATGGAAACAGCAAAAACAAACATAGATCAAGTGATGAGTCCAAACTGTTTTTTGAGAGCGAAAAGAACATAGAAAACAAAACACCGAAGGGAAGGCAATAACGAAACACGACAAGCTACGAAATAAATGAAGCCTCGAATTTGCGGACAACGAGACTCAAATAGAATGGTTTGTAAACAAAACGAAAACCGCATTTGCCCCTAACGTAGAAACGCTACTTGCGAAAGGGCCAAAATTCGCACTCCCGATTAATAAGAAAGAATTACCTCTGTTAAAATACATTGCGGAAGGAGAAGAGTTGATACAGACGATCGACGAAAAAGAAACACAAGAGTCGGCACGCACTAAATTCTCTTTATTAGTTAAGGAATACAAAACGAAGAACAACCAAAGCACAGGGGTTCGAGCAATACTGGACACAGTGGAACAGACACGTAAATTCTTGCATATTTTCTTGTAACATCAAAATATTATCTTCTGACAAGGGTAACAAAGCAGTAGCAATGTATAGCGACGACTTCAATAATAAAATGACAAATATTTTAGATGACTTATGCGCGTATATAATAATAAGACAGAATCCGACATCAAGATTACAGACAAAGAATAACAACCTTGTGACACAATTATTAAGGGTGGGTCTTATTTCAAAGGACGAAAGAAATAAGATAATTACTACCACAGCGGTACCCCCCAAGAATATATGGACTACCGAAAATTCACAAGGTAGGAACACCTCTGGGACCAATATGCTCCTCTATCGGTTCCCCATCATATGGACTAAGAAAGAAGACACTTGACAATGGACCCTAGATATAAAATTAAGAACTCTTTAGAGTTCATAAACAGAGTTAACAACGCCACTATCAGAGAAGACGAACTATTAGTATCTTCTGACGTAGTATTCCTGTTTTCCAGCATACCAAGAGAATTTGTACTGGACACAATAAGACGGAAATGGACCAAATTCGACGAACACACACAACTATACCTAAACAACTATTTATGGATATAGTTATTTTAAATATGAAGAAAGAAACTACATACAATGAAAAGGAATGCCAATGGGACTAAATAATGAAAGAACTTTAAGACAATATCACTGATAAATTGACAACAAAACCAATATTTTTGACAAAATATTTAAATGACAGTTTTGCTGTAACGAAAAAAACAGAAGTACAAAACATTTTAAAAGTATTCGTTTCACAAACTTAGACACTTTGGTAAACAGAGTGGACCACTCATTCAAAATTAAGTGGTATATGAAACCCATAGCCTCTGGACGAATACTTAACTTCAACTCTAACCACCCAAAAAGTAAGATTATAAATACAGCACTAATCTGTTTGAGAAGGATGACATACATATCGGGCGTAATATACCATAAAGAAATTAAACACGAAATAAAACGAGAGAGAAAGGCTATCTTCGGCACGCCGATAATCTAATACCCTTGCACACCCAACCTTTTCATAATGCTTATAGTGTTTTGCCCGTATCTAAGAAGCACAGGGAAAATAGTTAATGCCGAGTTTGGGCAAGATATCCTGATAAACAAAATGTTTTTTCATACAAAAACTTAATTTCCGACTGATCGTTCCTATGGCAGCTACATGATATAGTGGTCCGATCCAAATAGGATTTTGCATATATATGATGAGTAAAGTAAAACTAATAAATGCAGAGTTTGGTCAAGATAGCTTGATAAACAAAATGTCTTTTCATACAAAAACTTAATTTCCGACTGATCGTTCCTATGGCAGTTACATGATATAGTGGTCCGATCTTAATAGGATTTTGCATATATATGAGGAGTAAAGTAAAACTAATAAATGCAGAGTTTGGTCAAGATATCTTGATAAACAAAATGTTTTTTCATACAAAAACTTAATTTCCGACTGATCGTTCCTATGGCAGCTATATGATATAGTCCGATCTTAATAGGATTTTGCATATATATGAGGAGCATAGTAAAACTATTAAATGCCGATTTTGGTCAAGATATCTTGATAAACAAAATGTTTTTTCATACAACAACTTAATTTTCGACTGATCGTTCCTATGGCAGTTACATGATATAGTGGTCCGATCTTAATAGGATTTTGCATATATATGAGGAGTAAAGTTAAACTAATAAATGCAGAGTTTGGTCAATATATCTTAATAAACAAAATGGTTTTTTAAATAAAAACTTAATTTTCGACCGATCGTTCCTATGGCAGCTACATGATATAGTGGTCCGATCCAGCTGGTTTTCATATATGTGCTGCGTGCAACAGAGAGAAAGACTTCTGCAAAATTTCATTTAGATAGCTTTAACACTGAGAGACTAGTTAGCATAGAAACAGACAGACGGACAGACAAACATGGCTCTATCGACTCGTCTGTTGATACTGATCAAGAATATATATATTTATGGGGTCGGAGATGTCTCCTTCTATGCGTTACACATTTCACCACAAAATTATAATACCCTCTGCAAGGGTATAAAAACTATTGACAATAAATGACTTCCCGAAGAATACAATTTGAACATTATTTAAAAGACTACATATCAGAACACAAAAGCCAACAAAATCTACAAAAATATACAAATCTCTAACATATGTGCCAAGATTAACTCAGACTGCTATAACAGACAAAAAATAAAAGTAGCCCAAAAAACCACAAATACGCTACAAAATTCCTTTAATACAAAGGCGAAAATACCAATGGTGGACAAAAGTATTGTCATTTACAAAATACCATGTGGCGGTGATAATAACAATAAGTGCAAGAGCGTGTACATCGGCACAACAAAATCAAAACTTACGAGTAAGAGGTTCTAGTCGGGAGCTCCCGACAAGGGGATACCCTGAACCCTCTTCTTCCAACATCATGCATATATATATTATATTTTAGAAGCTATATGTCAAGTTTGGTGGCTCTAGCTCTTATTAATTACCAAAATTGCCCAAAAAACAGGATATCGATATTGATGTTTATCGATTGCTTGGAAACGGAGTAAGTTATCGATTATCGGAAACTCACTCGATCTGCGCAGGCACTAGGAGCACCTACATCTAAAATTTCGAGTCTCTAGCTCTTATAGGTTCTGAGATCCTTGCGTTCATACATAAGGACAGACGGACAGACAGACGGACGGACAGACGGACAGTCAGACAGACGGACATGGCTATATCGACCTGGCTATTGGTGCTGATCAAGAATATATATACTTTATGGGGCGGAGATGCTTCCTTCTGCCTGTTACATACGTTTGGATTTTGCACAAATACAATATACCCTTATACCCATTTTTAATGGGTTCAGGGTATAAAAATAAGAATAACCTAACACAAATCCGACTTCAAATTAAGACATCAAAATAATACACAAAAAACAGCACTTTTAACCCACTGTATGAAAAGCAACCACACACCAAATTTCGATGCGACGACAATTTTACAACAAGAACAACACTATAAGAAAAGACATATATTAGAAATGTTACACATAAAAAACACACCAAACAACAGACGACTAAACTACAAAACGGAAACTGAAAACTGCGCTCAATTATACAGACATCTGTTGAACCGTCAATTATACATTTTTTAAATTGTCCAAACAAATAATTATAAAATTTGGTCGCCAAATACAATATTATATAATATACAAATGTATAAAAAGATTGTAAGTATGTTACCTGTTCCACCCAAAGATTTGTAGTCATGATCTGGTTTTTAAGATTCTAAAAATGAAGAGAAAATGTTTATTTAATATAAAGCAAAGTAAAGAGGCTCTAGTCGGGAGTTCCCGACTAGGGAATGCCCTGAACCCTTTCCTTCCAACACCAAACGCAGCTCGCGCTACAAGCTCGTTTGCTTTAGCAGTAATACAAATAAATAAATAGAAAACAGTGTTTCCTTAATTGTACTTGAACTTGTAACCAAAAGAACTCTTTGCTACCGCCTTTACACGACAGCTATGCTAACAATTAATTTTCATTGAATAAAAAAGCGGCACATGCACACGGAACAGTATACAATACAATGTGTGTGTGCGTATGTTAACCTTTGAGGACAGTAAGCGACTATACTTGGGTCTGGTCACTATAATACGCGGAAGCGTAAAAGCAATATTGTGCTGGACTAGTAATAATTACATTTTTGTCAAATTAGTCTTTAACTTATTTCGAATTGACACTGTCGGTGCAGCCGAGTATAATAATTAAAGTTAACTTATGATTATTATGGTCAGGCCGAACGGCATAAATCAATTTAGTTATATTAATTAACCAACGAAATACTCGTCAAGAGTATGGCGGTAACTGGCGCCCAACTATATATAAAAACGAAATACACGGGAAAAAGTTTGTGAATGGTGTGCGAATTAAAGACTATGCATAAGTACGAAAAGTAATTAGGTGTTAAACGAAAAAAAATCAGTGAGTAAACTTGCGCGATAGACGATCAAGGCTTTGGTACATAAGAGTTTAAGACTATCAAATAACACGATATCATTAAGGCGGCAGCAAAACATATACATATGTGTTAAATCTTAACAACTATTATATTACAAATGCCGTCAGGAGAAAAATACGAATATTTTGTTTCGCTTCCAGTAATTAGATTTGATAATATTGTGCGTGTTTTGTTTTAATATTCCAAACAAAGCCATAATATAAAGAAAATATTTACAAATTTCAAGTATGGTATTGCAAATACTAAAAAATTTATAGCGAATCGCGCGCGCAACGCTATGTGATAAGTTGCATTTTCTTATAGCGGAATTTACATTCTTTTGTCTGTGTCGGCAACCAAGAAAACACTTTACTTCTTGCCATTCGTTTACTGTAATATTTTTCGATATATGAAAAGTAGAAAACGGCAGAATAAGTAAACAACGGTCAACGATGTCTCGAACAAAAACCCTAACGCAATATTAAAGCGTTGAAAAGCGTACATCGGCGAACATGAGGCAAAAATTTATACAAGCCAGGGCAAAAATACCATGTGGCTGGGACCTTCTCCTGACAGAAGCTCAACGCGTTGAAAGGCACACCACGGTCCGCGCAGGTACGATTCACAATGGGCGTTCCTCGAGTAACGCGATTGAGGCAACCAAATACCATTGTACTGTTCAAAATACCAGATAGTTTCTGCTTAAGCAAACCTTTATTTTATACAGTGAAAAGACCGCCAACAAATATATTTCGAAAATTCGGATTCCATTATTGACGCCGTGAAGGACTTGGTCATGTCGGACGTAGTTAATGTCATATATTGTGAGCTGCCACATCCCGTTTACTCTTGTCAAGAAGTTCCCCTCGACAAAGTTTTGGTGAACAAGGGTGTCTGATAGTTTTAACGCTCAAGTAGACAAGTGGAGCGTCTTCATAGACGTGACATGGGTTAGGGGCTAGGGGCAATGCAAAGAAGGATCAAAGACACCGTCGAAATCATTCGGTCGTGGGCAGAATGCTTGTTGAAGTAATTCACTCACCACCACGCGAGATAGTAGAAAACATGAGTAAAAGAATTCACAAAGAGCAACAAATGCAGTTGGATAGGAACAACCTGTCTACACAGAATCGAGTTTTCGAGGTCGGGAATAAAGTGTTAGTAAACACGAATATTAGACTTGAAAAAAGGCCTTATATGAAAACGAGAAAGAAAGGCTATCTTTGGCACGCCGAAGATCTAATACCCTTGCAGACCCAACCTTTTCATAATGCTTATAGTGCTTTGCCCGTATCTAAGAAGCACAGGGAAAATAGTTAATGCCGAGTTTGGGCAAGATATCTTGAAAAACCAAATGTTTTTTCATACAACAACTTAATTTTCGACCAATCGTTCCTTTAGCAGCTATATGATATAAAGGTCTGACCTTAATATTATTATGCCTATATATGAGGAGTAGAGTAAAACTAATAAATGCCGAGTTTGGTCGCAATAACTTGAAAAACAACATTTTTTTCATACAACAACCTAATTTTCGACCGATCGTTCCTATTTCAGCTATATGATATAGTGGTCCGATCTTAATAGGATTTTGCATATATATGGGCAGCATCGTAAAACTAATAAAGGCCGAGTTTGGTCAAGATATCTTGAAAAACAAAATGTTTTTTCATACAACTTAATTTTCGACCGATTGTTCCTATGGTAGCTATATGATATAGTGGTTGGATCAACCTGGTTTTCACATATGTGCTGCGTGCAACAGAAAGAGGGACTTCTGCAGAGTTTCATTAAGATAGCTTTTAAACTGAGGGACTAGTTCGCATAGAAACAGACAGAAGGACAGACGGACATGGCTATATCGACTCGGCTGTTGATGCTGATCAAGAATATATATACTTTATGGGGTCGGAGATGTCTTCTTCAATGCGTTACACATTTCAGAAAAAAATTATAATACCCTCTGCAAGGGTAAAAATATTAAAATAGAAGCTGATTTGGGAACAACTGTTTTCATAAGAGGGAGAGTGGTCCATAAGCACAACCTTAGGTGAAGGAAAACAGCCCGTAAAACAATTATTATAAATATTTGTTGTGGTCCGAGCTTGATAGGCTTGCTCACCCTGAGTGTTCACCATAGGCTCTGTTTTGAAAATGATTGCAACGACATCTGATTATGAAGGCCTTCAAGAAACTCGGTTAACAGAAGGTGAACTCAATGGAGTTAGAGAATCTAGTGGTAGCGATTACGGTTGCCAACATAAATGTAGGAAATTCCACAGCAATAGACAAAGGTGATTTAAAAGTAATACTGAATAAGTATTTCACAGGTTTTAGTGTAACCCAATTAATGAATGTAGCTTAAGTTAAGGTTTTAGCAAGTGATGACATAATCCACATTATCCTAAAATTTCGTAAGTAAGTTGTTAAGAAGATAGTAATATTCCCAGTCGCATAAGCCGGGGTTGAAATAGTTGGTTAAATTGCTGGTTGGCTCCAATTATTTTATAGTGATATTATTATAGGGTTGGCGATAACTATAAAATGAAAGATACTTGATCTATATACACGATTCTATAAGCTACATGTCAGGTATGATGACACTAGCTCTTCTAACCAAAGAGATTTTCTCAAAAGGCAGAATTGTGATATCGATTTTTATACCCTGACCCCATTAAAAATGGGTATAAGGGTATATTGTATTTGTGCAAAATCCAAATGTATGTAACAGGCAGAAGGAAGCATTTCCGACCCCATAAAGTATATATATTCTTGATCAGCAACAATGGCCGAGTCGATCTAGCCATGTCCGTCTGTCTGTCCGTCCGTCCGCCCGTCCGAATGTATGAACGCAAAGATGTAGGTGCTCCTAGTGCCTGCGCAGATCGAGATTGTTTCCGATAATCGATAACTTACTCCGTTTCCAAGCAACCGATAAAAATCGATATCGGGAACTAGGAGCATCTACATCTAAAATTTCAAGTCTCTAGCTCTTATAGGTTCTGAGATCCTTTGGCTCATACATACGGACGGACGGACGGACGGACAGACAGACGGACATGGCTAGATCGACTCGGCTATTGATGCTGATCAAGAATGTTTATACTTTATGGGGTCGGAAATGCTTCCTTCTGCCTGTTACATACATTTGGATTTTGCACAAATACAATATACCCTTATACCCATTTTTAATGGGTTCAGGGTATAAAAAGCACCCCACAAATTCTGTCCTTGCTATCCCTTTTTTGTTTGAGGCTACAGCCTATGATCTTAGCTTCTGCACCCTTCTCACTCGTTGTTGTGGTTTCTAAGCACTGCTATGCCTATAATTCGCAAAGTCATGTTATCTTCTTCTCCACTCGCTTTCAACTCGCAGCAGCCCGGCAGATTTTTATAACTTTTCATTTTTTCACAAGCAAGGCACCCTTTCTCAAAATAGGGTATTTTAACTATTCATAAGTGATATAACCAAATAGCACAAGCTCTATATATTCATATTTATCCAATGTCTATGAAAAATATAATTTCGTATTTAATGTGCAACTATAGGTCAAATTATTAAGAATTGTTTTCTTGAAACATTATTTACGATTTCTATAAATAATAGTATTAATGCCGCGACTCGTCAAATAAATGTTGTATGTGTGTCTCATTTCACACATATTGGTGCAAATCTGCATATATGTATGAGTCTGCCAAGCCAAGGGATCATAGACTTCTCGTAAGAAGATTGTAACGTCACAGCCTAAGGCTTTTCCGTGCGATCATTTCGTATTAAAAATGATTACATATGTCAATCAATTATTTACTATAAAGGACCCTATTCATAAATTATTTAAATGTACATAATAAAGGTTAGTACCCAAATTATGCTGTTGTTGTTTCTACGCGCTGCCTTGTGGGAGCGACAGAGAAACCCGCAGTGAACACAGTGGTATAGTTTGTCCCTTTGTCTCTGTCTCTGTCTCCTGCCATTGAGTAATAAAGAGAAAGAGATTTACCGTTTTAAAATTCATGAGCGCTGGATCGGGCTGGTCCGCAAACGCAAAAAAAGCTCATTTACCATAGGAAGCAACATAAAATCACTTGCAAAACAACAACAGTGCGCAAGAAACCCCACTTTTTGTAAGCCATGATGAGGACATAGGAAACTCAGTGCAAAGAAAAGGCACTGCTTTTCCTACAAGGCAGCGCGTAGAAAAAACAACAGCATAATGTGGGTACTAATGTGTTGTTGCAATGCTGAGTCTCGGCGCAATTAGGTAGAAAATTCGAATGCCAGCAGGCC